CAGTCTCTGAGAATACCCTGTCAATCTCCTGCTCATCTTCTCAGATTCTACACAGCCTACTGACTTCCTCCCGTAACTCCTTTATCTGGCGATACAGCTGATCAACCCCAGCACACCTTCTGCAGGAGAGCTGACTGTCAGCCCAGGCCTCACGGAGAGGCCCCAGGCACTCCCTGCAGCCTGACCCCTGCAGAGCTGCATCTGCTGTCTGAGGGTCTGTCTGGGTTGAAGCCTCAGCCACAGCCGATGCAGCACCTCCAACAGCCACTGGGGAATGTGCTCTGCGGCGTGTCATGACCATGCCTGGGGAAGCACACACTACTACAAGAAATGAAGGTGCCTTCTTTGCCTTCTGGCATCCTTCTGCGCGAACTGCTGTGCAAACTGCTGCGTCTGTTCGCTGCCTCTGTTATCTGTGCTCTGGAACCAAGGGAAAGTCTTCCTTTCTCCAGACTTTCTCCCTGGTTTCCAGGGCCTTGGGATTCCTGAGGGCTGGTCTTAGCAGTAAAGACTGAAATAAAAAAGGTGTTCAGTATCTCTGCCTTCTCTGTGTCCTCTGTCACCAGGGCCCTACACCATTTAACAGTGGGCCCACATTTTCCCTAAGTCTTCCTTTTGTTACCAATATATTTAAAGAAGCCCTTGCTGACCTTGACATCCCTGAGTTTTGCCAGGAGCAGCTCGTTCACTCATGCAGGTCTTCTGCCCCTTTTGCTCGACTTCTTGCTCATAGGGATGCACCGTTCTTGAGCTTGGAGGAGATGATCCTTGAATATTAACCAGCTTTCTTGGACCCTTCTTCCTTCTAGGAACCTATTCCCTATAGAATAGTCAGGCAGTGCATAAACCACAACAACATTGTAAAATGATTTTGAGACCCAGAAATGAGAATTTATATTGGTCTTTTTTACTTTTTGAAAATAGCAGTCCTGGCATGGCGTAGCTGCTGGTGACACAACTCATTTTAATAATATTGGGCCAGGGTAAACTGATTAAACAGCCTCCAAGTCTGTGCTGCTCAAGAGTGTCTCAGCATGTATCTTGCTGCATTCAGGGTCTTTCTGAATTGCCAGGATTCTCTAACATCCATACATGCAGTGACATTATCTTAGAGCATGTATTCCTAGAAAGGAATGGGAGAGACTTTGGAGGAAGGGAGCACTTAAACAGTTGGAACGGATCAGGTTATCTGTGGCATGCTATTTTATCTCCAGAGGATGCTCTGGTTCATTTGAGATTATTCATCTGAGAGTCCTGGACACATTTGCTTTTACAGCACAGATCTCTGTGAACAAATAAATTGAATGTCAATACCATGTTCATATGCATATGTACCCTGTAGCACATGCACACTAGCAGTGCCAAATTTAGGATGAGCTGGACTTTGTTGTACATATGCAAACCCAAATTCGTTAGGTCTGCTGTGAACATGGTGTAAAGTCAATCCATGTGTGCACATTGACTGGTTGTTCAGGATTTCAGGACATGCTGCTCTAGGTGATGTTCTAACTGGGCTGCAAATGTGCAAAAAATCCCAGACATCCATTATCCTAAAATTCCATTGCTGCAGAATTGTAGGGTAGAAAAAAAGGACATGGCAAGGCCAATACATTAGCCCTAAAGGTTTGAGCATAAAGATATTCTGTACTGAGGAATACAAAAAAAGAAGGACAGTTAGGGAATTTCAGGATCTTAACTCATTAGCCTTTACCACTGGAGCAGAAAGATCCCGTAAAGGCACTTTATTTTTTATTTATTTATACTTATAATTGCTGCCAGACATCACACTGTCTAGGTAGAGCAACTCTTGCAGTGTACGTTCATTTTAAGTATTGCATTGAAGCAGATGATTGATTTTTTCTTTTTTTCCCTCTATTCAGAAGCTTTTGTGTAAGTTTGATGTTGAGAACACTAAGAGTGTATGTTCTTTGCATATGTTTTCAGGACAAAGACTTCTGTGTCATTGTTGTGCCACACCTTGTACCAGAGTTCCATCTGATCCAGAGTTTTGTTCGAGTTGTCCCTTTCTGTACTTCCACATTTAATCATGAGCTTTACGTATTCCACCGTGCTGGATTGCTCAAGTGAGTCATGTGCCTTGTGACAACAAATGCTCTCTGAAGTGCTTTTATGGAATATACTTGCGTCATACAACCTAGCACCAGATGGATATTCCTTCATTACCTTTGAACAAGCTGGTATGTCTGCATGGTACAGCGCAATGTCTTGCAAAAATGACAGCTTGAGTCCCAAAAGCGGTATAGCTGAATAGCACAGGACTGTGCCTAGAGTAATTAGGAACAGGGCTCCTGTATTTCCTCCCCAAACCTCAATCTGTGCCTTTTATTTGTTTATGTATGGATATGTATGGATGGATGTTGTAAGAATCTTATGATATTCATGAAGACAGTAGATTTCACCTAAATTAACCTCAAGTTTTCCATATTCTCCTCTTTAATTCTTTATGGCACTGTGATCTGTTATTTCTGTTTATGTTAGATACAGGAAAAAGGGCCTATCTTTAGTCTCTAACTATCTGATGATTAGGGAGTAATGAGAATGCTAATAGCAACTTTGGCAGTTAGTGGGTACTTGCTTAGCTTCTGCCCCTGCCCTGGCATTTTTTCAGCAAAGATGATGGTGGTAGTATTTTTAAAAACTTTTTGTTTTTTTTCCCATTTTTCATCAGTTTGTGGAGTTTCTTCCTTTCAATTTCTGGCAGTTTGTTTGGGATTCTTCCTTTTTCTTCTTTTTTTGTTTTTCTCTCGATTTTTACATGGTTGGGGAGGGGTCTGATTTCTTTGCCTGTTTGTTTTGGGGTTTCTATTTATTTAGCTAGGGGAGTTTTGATGGAGTTTTCTTTGGGGATTTTTTCAGAGCTTTTTTTTCCTTTCTTTTCCCTCAGCAGTTCTTTATGGGCTTGGTTTATTTATGTAATTAATTTACAGTTTTGGAGGAGTATTTACCTAAAGAGAGATTTTTTAGTTTTGTTTTGTGTTTTTGATGCTTTTGAGGAGGGAGATTTCAGCAGGTTTTCTTTTTTTCCCCTATTTTTCCCCCCAGCAGTTCTTTGTGGGTTTTTTTTGTCTATGTGTTTGTTTATTTACTGAGATAGGAATCACTATTTAGGCAAGGGGATTTTTGTGAGGTTTTGAAAGGATTTTTTTTGGTTTTTTTCAGCAGTTTTTTTTAACTAGTGGTTATTTGTGGGTTTTTGTATTTATTTATTTATTTATTTATTGTGGGGTTTCATTTACTCTTTCAGGGGGAGGGGCGAGGGTTTTTTGTTGTTTTGCAGTTTTTTTGGCAGCTTCTCCCCCCACGAGCGGTTGTTGGTGGAGTTTATTCCTAATTTTATCTCCTTATTTTAAGGTTTTTCAGCGGCATTTTTTGCTAATTTTCCCTCAGTAGCTGTGTGGCTCTTTATTTACTTTGAATTTGTTTGTGTTCTGGGTTTTGTTTTCCTAAAGTTCAGGTTGCGGCTTTTAGTTGTTTCTGGAAGTTTCTAGGAGCTTCCGAAGCTTCTGTCAGCTGTTTTCTGATTAGTGGGTTCTTCATTAAAAATGTACCGGTAGTCTTCAGTGGCCCACTGGGGAGGGAGCTGTGGGCTGGCCTCCTGTGGGGACATCCCCAAGCTGCTCCAGGGGTCACTGGAGCAGAGGCACTACCTGCAGCCTCAGCAGTCAGCATGGCAGGGGGGCCAAGGGGAGCCAGTCACTGCCAGACAGGACGGAGACAGACTGCACAGCATTGGCAGGGAAAAAGGAGATTACAAGGTCATCACGGACACCTCGCAGAGGCAGGAGCCCAAGCTCCCCACTGCAAGGAAGCCGAAATAGCTAGAGTCTACAACTGAATGAGCTGGAAACTTCAAGCCTGTGACTGCTGGCAATGGGAAGAAGGCTCCTTCTCCACCTTCAGTGCTGTAAATAGCCAGTAAAGGAGAACAAGCTCTGTTAAGAGAGGTTTCGGAGCCAGCTGGACCTGACCCATGCATTAGCACCAAGAGGAATTATCAGGTGACAGGGGTTGGAGATTCCCTTCTGCAGGGGTGGAGACCCCCATCCACTGTCTTGATGTGCTGTCACCAGAGGTCTGCTGCTGGTCCAGGCCCAGGATTTGTGGTGCTGTGGAGAGACTGCTGAGGCTAGTTCAGCCCTCAGGCTACCCCTTGTTATTCATCCATGTGGGCACCAAAGACACTGCTGAGTGAGACCTGGAACAAATAAAGAAGGACTCAGGAGAGGTGCCTGAGGACTGGAAGAAAGCCAGTGCCACCCCAGTCTTCCAAAAGGGCAAGCAGGAGGAGCCAGGGAACTCCAGGCCTGTCAGCCTCACCTCCATGCCTGGAAAGGTGATGGAGCAGCTCCTCCTGGAGATCATCACTAAGCATGTGGAGGACAAGAAGGTGATCAGGAGTAGTCAGCATGGATTCACCAAAGGGAAAGGATGCTTGAGCAATCTGATAGCCTTCTCGGATGGAATGAGTGGCTGGGTAGATGAGGGGAGAGCAGTGGATGTTGTCTCCCTGGACTTCTGCAAGGCTTTGGACACTGTCTCCCATCATATCCTCACAGGCAAGCTCAATAAGTGTGGGTTGGATGAGCGCACAGTGAGGAGGAGGATGGAGAACTGGCAGAGCTCCGAGGGTTGTGGTCAGCAACGCAGAGTCTAGTTGGAGGCCTGTAGCTAGTGGTGTCCCGCAGGGGTCAGTCCTGGGTCCAGTCTTGTTCAGCTTATTCATCAATGACCTGGAGGAAGGGACAGAGCGCACCCTCAGCAAGTTTGCTGATGATATGAAACTGGGAGGAGTGGCTGACACAGCAGAAGACTGTGCTGCCATTCCGAGGGACCTGGAGAGGCTGGAGAGGTGGGCGGAGAGGAACCTCCTGAAGTTCCACAAAGGCAAGTGGAGGGTCCTGCACCTGGGGAGGAATAACCCCCTGCAGCAGTACAGGCTGGGGGTTGACCTGCTGGAAAGTAGCTCTGCCGAGAAGGACCTGGGAGTGCTGGTGGACAACAAGTTAAACATGAGCCAGCAGTGTGCCCTTGTGGCCCAGAAGGCCAATGGCCTCCTGGGGTGCATTAGGCAGAGTGTTGCCAGCAGGTGGAGGGAGGTGATCCTGCCCCTCTCCTCAGCCCTGGTGAGGCCTCCCCTGGAGTACTGTGTGCAGTTCTGGGCTCCCCAGTACAAGAGAGACATGGCCCTGCTGGAGAGAGTCCAGCGGAGGGCTTCAAAGATGATTAGAGGACTGGAGCACCTCTCCTCTGGAGAAAGACTGCAAGAGCTGGGCCTGTTCAGCCTGGAGAAGAGAAGATTGAGAGGCGATCTCATCAACGTGTTCAAGTATCTGAAGGGGGAGTGTCAAGAGGATGAGGCCAATCTCTTCTCCGTGGTGCCCCCCAGCAACAGGACAAGAGGCAATGGGCAGAAACTGAACCACAGGAAGTTCCATCTGAACCTGAGGAAAAACTTCTTGACTGTGAGGGTGACAGAGCACTGGAACAGGTTGCCCAGAGAGGTAGTGGAGTCTGCTTCGCTGGAGATTTTCAAAACCCACCTGGATGCAATCCTGGGAAATATGCTCTAGAGGACCCTGCTTGAGGAGGCGGGTTGGACTAGATGATCTCCAGAGGTCCCTTCCAACCTGAACCATTCTGTGATTCTGTGACTACAGCACTCTGGAAGCAAAGGTGATATAGGCATGCAGATGACATTCTTTTGAATCCTAAAGTGAAGGGGAAAAGCTGGGTAGGAGTAGTTATATCCTGAGAGTTTACAGCTGGCTACATGGGTGGTGTTACAGGCAGTGCTTTGGCTTTTATGACCATAGGTCCTTTTTAGAGGATAGAAATGAGATGAGATTCACTTGACAAAGTGAGGCTAGAGCAACTTTGCCAACAGTCTTGCTAACCTAGTGAGGAGGCCTTCAAACTAGGTACATTGGGGATGGTGATAACAGCATGCAATTAAGAGAGGGAACAGAAGTTGCGGTGATAAGTTTATGGAGCAGGATGACGGAAGTGAGAAAGTCCTTCAGAAGAATAAAAAATTGAAAGGGTGCCCACCTCAAGTGCTTGTATACAAATGCCGACAGCCAGCGAAGCAGACAGGAGGAGCTAGAGCTCTGTGAGCAGAGGCAGAGCTGTGACATCCATGGAGTAACTGAGACATGGTGAGTCATCATATATGAGGAGATTCTGACTGGGTATAAGGAAGAAAATTTTCCCTAAGAGGGTAATTAAGCACTGGAACAGTTTGCCCAGAGAGGCTGTGAGATCTCCATTCTTAGGGTTTTCATAGAATAATTCAGGTTGGAAGGGACTTCAGGAGGTCTCTAGTTCCACCTCCCTCTGCTCAAAACAGGGTCAGGTAGGAGACCAAGAGCAGATTGCTCAGGGCTTTATCTAGTCAGGTCTTGAAAAGCTCCAAGGATATTTTCAAGCAGCCTGATCTAAATTCAGTGTTAGCCTTGCTCTTGGCAGGAGGTTGAACCAGATGACCTTCCAAGTCCCTTCCAACCTAAGTTAATGCTGTAAAAAAACACTGAAGGTCTTATAGCAAGAGCTTTAAATCCAGCCCCTGCCCCCATCTCTTATGTAGTCGGTGGAGAGATACAAATATTTCTACAGGGCAATTCAGAAAATCTGCGATAATCTCTTTTTCTGAATCTTCTCTGGAGCAGTCTGCCTCTCTATTCAGTTTATTGGGAGCCGAAGGGATTAGATGCCTGAAGTCAGGTATGGTGAATACTCCCCACATTTTCCATAGCTTCTGTCCTTGCAGACTACCTGAGTTACAAGCTCTGTCTCTACCTTTCTAGCATACTGCATCATTCTGTCTTCATCAAAAGGGGTTTATCTTTGAGGTAATGCATTTCTGGAACTTACAGAACATAGCTTTAACCTCACTGTTGAGTATCTATTTTATCATCTTATTGATCGCTATTTTTTTCAGATGAGCCATGTATTTGATATCTTCCAAATTTTGCGATACTCTGAACACTTCCATTTTCTGAAATTCTGGTTAACTGGGACACAGAACCTCTCTTGGAAGGATTTCTGTTATATGGTACAAGTTTTCCAGTCCTTTCTTATATACCAAGGCTATGTTTGCCCAAACACCAGGCTTAAATTGTGGTAGAGATTTTCCTTTTGTTTGTCTCATTAGTGTGGCTAAATATGGAATGATTTCAGAGAAATACTTCTATTTGAATTGCACACTTAATCACATTTTGCATACAAATAACTCTTGCAGGAACTGGACAGCTACCCTTGGACCTATGCAGAAGCTTTTTTCTACATGATAAAATTGGGCTGCTATGTATTATGTAAGAATCCACTTCTTTCTTCCAGGTGGCCACTGGAGTAATTCCTGTTAATCTCAGTCACAGCTGTTCATTAATCCAGCAGTAGGATTGGTAATCATAGGTCCTTTCACTATTTTGGTCAAAATTAAACTTATTATAAAAGTTTTTTAAAAACCTTACAATTCTGATTAAATTGTGCATGTTCCAAGGGATACTAGCCTTTCCATGAAAACAGAGTAAGGCCACTAGTGGCTTTTTCCAACCCCTTTGCAGCTGTGAGAGAAAGTAGGAAAAAACAGCCTGTGAGTGAAGTTCAGGATCAGAAGAGCTATGTCAGAAACTAGTTGAAGCTTTTTGGAAGTTTCTGAAGAACAGAAAACTCAGTGCACAACAGCAAATACTCCCTTAGATAAAAGCAAAATACAAAAAAGTAAAATATCAATGTACTGTAGTTGCACCAAGAACTTTCAAAAGGCACGTAAATGAAAAGGAAGTCACATAAAATGGATTAAAAGTAAAACAGGGATAAGAAAGGGGGAATGTAGAGACATGAAAGGGCAAAATCAGAAGAGGCATAGGCACAAAATGAGATACTGATTAGCAAAGGTTGTAAAAGGAACAAGAAAAAGTATTAAGTACACAAAAAGCAAGAGTGCAGCAAATGGAAGTGTAGGTCTGCTACTTAACAGTGAAGGAGAACAAATAATGGATGACAAGGCAAAGGCTGAAATGCTTAATGGATACTTTCCTTCAATTTTCACCAAAAAGCATAATAATAATAATAATAGTGTCCTGGCTTCTGAGCAGTCAAAGGAACTGGGCATCTAGAATGAGTTAATTCATTGCTGGAAGAGAAATGAGCATGCACAGACCTTGGATAGTCCTTCTTAGTCTTTGTTACTCATGGTGGATCTTGTTGTTTTAATTTTTTTAAATCAGTCTCAATTTTTGCATGTTCTGTTTTCCTTATGCTAAAAATTATAGTTCATTATTGGTATGATTGCCTTCTCTTGTATATGTTGCAGGGTAGGGGATGAAAAACTCAGATGCTGGGCTCAGTGGAGTGGCAGGAAGACAGCATGCTCATGGGTGGTAGAACTGAACCAGATTGCTGGTCTTGCTGACTGCTCAATCATTTTCAACCACTTGTTTGATCTTGCAATCAACTGTCTGTGGAAATGTGTGAAAATTGGAAACTGAGCTGAGGCTCACTTAGACATTCAGGATAGGTTTGTAACTTGGATGTTAACTTCAAGGTTTGTTATGTAATTTAGTAATCAAATGTCTGCTTTTGAGCCGTCAATCAAGTTGAAAATGTTCAATTAAGTTTTAAGCTATGAAATTTCTCATAACATATCAGATATTTTGTAGCTGTATTTTCTAAGTTATTAGATCTGATTTTTATTAAAACCATATTTCACAAAATCAGTTTGGATGTGACTTAACAGGCTGAACAGGCACACAGAAGTTTAAACTGTAAACAAGAATGGGAATGGAGGCTGTACTATGTGAATTCCAAGGTTTTGTTAACCTGGGATAATCTTATTTCTTGGAAATTAAGTTATAGCTGAGTTTCTTGAATAGCAGCACTCTATAAGCCTTAATTATATGAACCTTACTTAACCAGGAAAGATTGAGGCCTGTAAGAGACAACAAGAGAAAGTTCCTCAGCTGCTGTAAAATGTCATAGCTACACTTGATGGAGAAGGGCTATGATAAATCGCACCAAGTGAAGATCTCCTCAATCATGGACTAGAGTTAATAGGCTTAGCCCTGTGTATTCTTTGAGTCAGCTCTGACCTTACCTGTACAGTGGGCTCATGTTCTTCTGTAAGATGTGTTAGCTTCTTTGAGACTCTCATCATCTGCTTCCCGTAGAAACAACTGGAGTCTCCAAAATCAAGTACTGTTGAGCTTTGAAGTTATAAAGCTGTCATGCCTTCTCAGTTTACAGTTTTCTAAACGTCTGAGTTTCTACATATAGCTTCTTGTTTAGTTAGCTATTGCACATTTCACCAGCACTACCTTTTTCCAGATTATTGAAATAGGAGACGTCTCAGAGACTGGCTGAAACTCATCTTTCTTCCTTGCCATCTTGATAGCACTGGCACCTATAGATGCATTCTTACAATCTCAGACTCAAAACTTTGCATCTTTTCTGAGTTGAGCTTGCTGCCCAAAATCCATATGCTTGTTATCATCTATGGAATGGACTATTTTGTTTTCTCTGCCTTGGGGCCATTGGTCAGGGGCAATCAGACTGCATCTTTCCAGACAACAATAGTCAGGTATCTCCTGAGTAGAAATATTGACCACAGATGAATCATAAGGGGTCTCTGTATTCCCTACTGAATCCATGAGAAGGTTCATTCCACTCAAATAATGTGTTGCTTTTTCTCACAAATTTGTTTTCCTTCTGCTCCAGATGAAGTGTCTTTAAAGTCTCTGCAAAGAGAAAAACACTAGTTAACTGTTTATTGAACCTTTTAGAAGTGCATTTGGTAAATTTGTTAGAGTAGCTTTTTTTTTTTTTTTTTTTTCCTCCCCTTTGTGTCCCGTGCTGGGATGTTTTATGGCTGAGTGAGTGAACTAGGTAAGTACCAGAATGTTCCTGTGTGTAGCTGGCATGTTGCTGGTTCTATATATGCACAGATATTTTAATACCATTTCACTGTTCTGTGATAACTAATTGGCAGTCTTCTGCTTATCAGAGCATCTTTTAGTCAAATAAGTTTATTCTCGTATATTACTGTCAGAAGAATCAAGGCCTAACACCACAGTTAGTTATTTGTTTTTATTGGAGAATTTTCTGTACTACACTGATGTTCCTGCCATTCCTTTGTACGATGTCCTAGTATGGCAGTTGCCTCTGTTTATTTGTTTTCTTTTTGCTCTCTCTCCTTTTTTTTCTTATTTTTCTGTGTCTCTCCTCTTTTTTTCCCATTTGTGTCACTGTGCAGGTATGGACTCTAAAAGAGCTTATTTACTTCCTTTCTCTGCTGGCTCACTCTTAGTTGCTGACGATTATGAGATACTTGGTGGTTAAGGCTATGGCTAGTCTTTGCTTTGTGGGAGGTACATAAGCACTGAGTGCTTGATAGCAGTTAAAGCAACGTGCTTGAGGAGTTTTAAGGAGATGGAGTGAGATCTTTTATGTAATTATGCAAGAACAACATATGCATTTGAAACAATTGACATACATCAGTCAATTTCAAATTTTAAAAGGTGTGCATTCAGTGCTTGTGGAAGGCCCGTCTTCACAGGCATGGGAATTTGATTTGTTGCACAGCAAACTCCCCCCACCTCCCTTTTTTTCCCTCCTTTTTTTTTCTTATAGGTCATTTAATGTAAGAAGAGCAACAACCAATGATATACTTGGTGTTGAAATGCTCATTAAAACCCTTAGCTTGAATGAAAGTATATTAAATGACTTAAAGATGTTTACTCTGGCTCGGAAGGATCCGGTGAGTATCTGTTGCAAGTATATATTTGTCATAACAAAATGGGTAAATACTGGTAAAAATGCCCAGTATTTATTCTGTTGATCTGAACAAATACACTATATAATACATAGGTATTCAGCCAACAGTTGGTAGGTTGAATTCAGCCTGACTTGATAGTTCATCTTACCTGTGATCTATATCAACTACCCTCTTCTTTGGGAACCCCTCAAATGCAGGGATGGAAGCAGGCTAAATGCATTGTTTTGGCAGCCCACAGCCTGCTTTCCGTTGCTGCTTTTTCTTGCGTGCACATCTAGTTATGTGATAAGGATGTACATACGTTTTGTGTCACATGATAGGGGCCTCTTTCTGCTTCCCATGATGTGGCCGGATGTATGCTCATTGCACAGTAGGGCACATCTGCATTTTTGTTGCATGATTGTACATGCTGCATGATGGAACATACTGCATAAAAAATTAGCACTGCCAATCATATAACTGGAGGGAAATCCATTGTATACAAATGTTGATGGAGAGTATCTACATTTTAGTTAATATTCTTCCCTCAGATCAGAACCTATCCCATGACTAAATTAGTGGTGATCCTACAGCACTCCTATAGCACCTAGACCATGAATCTAAACTTTAGTTGAGTAAGGTTGTATATGGTCAAGAGTCCAACCATATATGCTTTGTTTGAGGATTATGCCTTGAGTAAGGAAGAGTGGATAAATTGGGGTAGAGCACAGAATGCATATGGGAAAAGTATTTTAACTGTGATCATGTGGTGAAATACAGAGTTATGATTAAATAGTGAGATAAGTAATGAAATAGGAAGTGTGCATATATTCTTTTTGCCTTGTAGGATGGAACCCCAGTGCAGGCATTCATAGCAGAAGTTTTGGATCAAATAGTTGGCATTTCTGTCATTAAAGATGAAATGGTAACTTGTATTTATATTTTCTCCATTTGCTATTTTTGTGTTGTATGAACACTCTAACACCTAGATAGCCCTCAAGACCAAAGGCTACATTCCATGCTTGCAACTATACATATATGTAACAGAAAATATACATAACAAAAAAATATTGTTTCTATAAATTTACAGTCTGCATAGTCAGGAAAGAGAGAAGAATAATTATTTCCCTTCTCATAGGTGATGATTCGATACACAGGTGAAAAAATTATCCTCTCATTTGCAAGAAGCCATCGATGAGTTTTGATCTACATCTCCTGCATCTCCTTTTGGTTCTCTATGATAAAGCCATTCTGCCTCTAAATGTGCAATCACCTATTTTGCTGCCTAATTTCCAAAGTCAATTGCCAGTTTTGCCTGGCATACTGCAAAGGGTAGCAGCTCTCCTTCTAAACTAACTTTATTCATTTTTACATTTGCATTTTGCAATGGTAGCTTTTGAACGACATGAATCACACACAATTAACTTCAAAAAATCTTATTCATTATTGTGGTACCAAAAAAAGTCAATTATCCGTTATTCTTGAGAAAGTAAGCATTTGTTAGGTTTTTTATTTGTTTTGTGGTATTCTGCTAACGTTGAAAAGGCAGATTTCAGAACTGTCAACACTTGCAGCGCTCAGTTTTTTAAAAACAGAGTAGTCACTCCTGTTTTCAAAGATAGTCATTAATTATATCAAGAGCATTGAGTTAAGAGGTTACAGCAATTTCTGTGGAGTGCATATATGTGCAGAAATCTCAACTTTTACCACTTTGACAGGGAAAACTTGTTGGAGAGCTTTCTTGCACAGCTCTTCTCTGTAAAATTCCCTTCTTTCATTTTCAGCATTCTGAGAGGGTGACCTATGTTTCCCTATCTTGAAGAGCAAAATGGAGAATTGGCGTTTGTAGAGTTTGGGTTTTTTTTCCCCCATGAATGTCCATTAAATCGTATCAGACTTTCTTGTGATGGAGTCAGATACGTGTTCTCTGTAAATAAAGGTGGGCAAGTTACAAAAATAGATTTTGATACAACGAGAAGGTTGTTAAGAAAGATGTGTTCAGTCAGTGTGTTTTGATTGAGAATAACTCTCAAAAGCCTTCATTTAAGTAAGTGTTCAAATTTAGTTACTAAATGGATAAAAAGTAACTCATAGGCACGTTTTTTAGTATCACAAAAGTAGCTGTTTCGTCACTGCTAAGATTGTCAAATTCTTATTTTCCAGGATATTGAGTATATTCATTCACATTACAACATTGAAGATTTTACTCATTTTTATCACCACCAGCGAGAGGAACATGGACATCTTTATCACTTTGTCTTAAATCCCATATTTCATCACTATACCAAACACTTTCTAAAGGAGATGCTTCGCTTGGCCCACAAGTCTTCTCTTTATTATCCTATTTATCCACAATATGTTGAAGGCAAGGTAAGAAGAAAGTGATTTGTATTTTATCTATTAAATATTGTCAGTGTTGCTCACTTTATTTTTTTATTTTATTTATTTTTTTGCTTCTATGACTGTAAGCATGAATTTTTTTAGCAACCTGGAGCAAACTGTACTTTCACATCATCTTATGTCACAGAATCTGCATTCATGGACACAGCTGATGTACAGTAGGATTAGTCGGTAGCTTTATCAGTCTTGCGTGTAAAGTAGTGCATGTAAGTCCGGACTAATCCCATACCTTCAGGATCTGTGTGGAGGCATATACGTTTGAAGTGTACTTGCCCTTGGCTTATTACATAGCATGTGAAGAGAGAGAACCTCTTCCTAGGGTGGTTCCTTCTGAGCTGAATCATGCTTGAAAAATGCCTGTTTTTCAATTGAATTTAGAGCGATACTAGAGCAACTGTGCTCTAAATGTAGGTAGATGTCTTAAGTTACACATGTTAATATGTTGTCCTGGGAGCAGCACAGTAGAGGAATAGCTTGTTTGCTATTTCCTCATTTGTCTCTGGGAGAAGCAGATCTGCTTTTTACCCACATAGGTCCTCATACTGCTGCTGCTTTGTGCGTTGCATCAGCCCCTTTCATAAATGTCTTGTAGCAACAATAGTCAAGTTTCTGCCTTTCCTCCATTCCAAAAGATCTGTTCCAGGTGGAAGTAGCAAGCATCCAGTATTCCCAGTCCTGCCTAAGTAGGACCCTGTGTCTGAGTTGTAACCTCTAATTTGGGTTTGGCTCCATCTCTTGCTCCTATATTGGTAGCATAGTTGAAGAAATAAAAAACTCATATTACTCATCAACTGAGGAGGCTAATATAATGATTTTATTTAATTGCTTTTAATATGCTGATACAACTGGCATACCTTTATGTTACTTGCAAATCAGTTGCCAAGCAGGTTTTAAATGACGAGGTATAAAGCACATATAATATCTTTATATTTACCAACTTCTTGTATTTTCTGCCATAGTTTAATACAAACAACTTGATCAAGTTGTGCTGTCTCACATACAGCCATTCAGTTGCATAATGAATTTTGAGAGGTACCAGTATCTGGGTTTGGATTCAGGGCATGGAGAAGAGCAAGAAAGGGAAAAGAAGAATGACGTTACTGAGCATAACATAGCATGAGTAAATGCAAGGGGACAATTTTAAAAACACATCTGAGCGGATATAAGAACTCTTCAAAAGTGATTTAGGTACTTCAGAGTGTGTTTTCATCAAAAGTCAGTGAGACCTAGTCACCTCACTCCCCCTGAAAATATGCATTGTGCTTCTGCAAGTGCCACTGAAGAACCATAAGAACATAGTGCTATGTGAGAGAACATACATTCTGGAGAAGCACATAATTTGTGTACCTTAAAAAAAAAACTTTTGAAAATACTCCAATGTATGTCTTGTCATCAGTCTTGTGTCAGGCAAGAAAAGAGGACATAAGGTAAAATTTTCAAACATGCCCTCTCATCGATGTGTAGCCATCTAAAAGTTGGTATCTGGTCTCGCCTAATCACCTAGGCTCCAGCGAGAATTAATGGAGAAAACACGGTGCCTCCAGAAGGCGGTTCATCCATCGATCATAACTACCTATCTTAGGATGGAAAGAATTGCCCTCTGGAGATACTCATCTCTTCTTTAACTCTGGGGGATGTCTGCATGTCTAGCTAGATTAAGTGCCTTGCTTTTAGATGGTATTGGGATTAATTATATTCTCAGTAACTTACATGTTTTTGAAAATGACACCTTTTTGTAACATAGGAATTTTGACAGGTTGCACATACGCACATTTTTTGAAGGATATTTTTTCCCGCTTCACTAATGTGCGCTTTTGTGAAGTTTTAATAAGTGTTGTCTTGAGAAACCAATGTCCTTGCGTAGGATTAGGTTCTTAGGTTCTTCAGAGGCACTTATAAAAATGCAGTTTAATGGCAGTGGATGGAAGAGAAAAGTTAAATCTTACTAATGATTCCAGTTTGGTCTACTTTTAGGCTAAAGTGAGTTACTTTAAGTTACTTTAACTCGTTATTGCTTTCTAATAAGTGCCAAATGTGATATTTTATTCAGTTCTCAACATGATAACATTAATAACATTAAGGGGTTTTTGATATTTGTGCATGGAAAGGTACTTCAGTGTAATTTAGTTTGCATTAATGTTTGTTCTCCATTTCCTGTAATTCTCTTATTTTTCCCTTTTCATGTCAAAAGTTATGACAGAGCCAGTCATGCTGTAATAAATGGAATAAGGCTGCTTCTAATGATCCATGCTATTCACATTAACGTTAGGGTTTTTGTTCCCTTCAAGTTTATGCCAGTTTATTAACATTTATCACTTGGACAAAATTGACATTTTAGTCAGTATAGAATTTCTATATAAATTCATCACCATTCTTTGCCAAACAAGCAAAGGTTAGCAGTAAGCAGATAACATAGCTTAATGAGGTCAAATCAAGCTGATTCATGATCACTATGGAGAAAAATATCCTCCTGGGGAAAATACTTGTGCTGAAAAATCCCATAAACCAAACCACTTGTTTATCTGTCATTCCCACAGAGATAGTAATGTAATTACTCTCATAATTATCTTCATTAGTGTCAGGAATTATCTGCAATTCATTCCTCTGCTCTGAGTATGTTTGTTTATTTGCTGATTTTTCTCTCAGATTTAGCCAACAGAGCTAAGAATTTTGTATTTGCAAAGCCATACAACAGACATCTGTGATGCACTGTGCTGACATTCTCTCTGCTAAAATATAGATTGCTGTCTTTCAGTTTCAGAATCCCTGTGCCCATTCCCTGACATCTGCCCTTCATTACATGGTTCCCGTGCGACCGAGACGACAGATTGTCTATCCTCTGGAAGAGCTTGGCATAAACGCTCCATCAGAGCAGGTCTCCAAGGATCAGGTGGGTAACAGAAGCAGCAGCAGGCAAGAGGCATAGTGCCAGCTAATGCAGGGTTTGGCAGATGGGATGGCATTACCATCTTAGTGTTGATAGGTTGCTTCTTAATTACACTGAACGTGGTGTCCATACCCTTACAGTCCCAGCTTTGCTTCTGCACAACCATCATTGCTAAGCTTGAATTTCAAATTGAGCATTACAAATAGCAATCACTGAACTATAACATTTATCTACTAATACTTACATGTTAGCAATATTTTCCATGAAATAACTTTCAAACTCATAATACATTGTAAATGTTTTGACTTACTATTTAGTCACTCTTCCTGGTAAGTTTATTGAGGTCTTCTGCTCTCCAAATAAAAAATACTACCTCATGCATCTGACAACTTCTGTAGAAACTGCTTTTCTTCAGTTTTGAAGCCAGATTTCTTTCATGTACCTGATACCTTCAAAAACACTTCAAAATGACAGGAATGATTTAGCAGTAAAGGAAAAGATTGCTTTCACTAACAACCAGTTCATATTTATATAGCACTCATGCAGTCCAGAGGTGCTAAACTGGAAGTCTCTTAAAATTTCATTTGTTAAATGTTATAGTGTCTTAAATTTTTAAATAACTAAAATTTGATGTAAAGATGGTCCCTTCACAAAAGTAACTAGTGAAGCTGAAATATTAGGAAAAATCTCATTAGTGATAGATACGCTCAGTATATGGCTGTAATTTACTAAAGAAACATAATTAGGGAGCTTTATGTCTGTCTACTAACTTCCAATTGGCTGAGATAGGCTCTCATATAGTATTTTTAGTGCTGTCCCTTTCACAGTTAGTCAGTAATTTTTGGCATCCAAAACTCTTAATTAGGCGGCAATTGGCAAAGCAAAATCCAGAACATGGCTGAGGCAGTGAATTGAGTTTGGCACCATGGAACAGGCTTCCCCTCAGCATTCATATCACTTCTCCCACCTTTCTCTTCTCTGCAGAATAAATTATCTAACCTTTTTCTTTAAGCTATTTCTTATTCTCTCTTTAAAATACACTGTTGCTATCTGACTAGAAGAGCTCATCTTAGCATTTTTGTTGGAGCTGGAAAATCATAGACCTCTGACTTCTGAGAGATTTGAAAATCTGATCCCAGGTTCTTCCTGAGGATTTTTGAGACTTGCAGATAGTGAGATAATTGTTTAAAACCTCCCAAGGTTAATGAATTGCTATTGAATAAAATGTCCAGGATTTTCACTAACAAAGTTTTGCTGGGAAAAAAAGAGGCTAGTCACTCTATAAGGATCCATGCATATGCATCAGCATTAAATACAGATTTTTGACAGACCGTGTTCTATCAAAACTGACATCTGGGGTTAATCTCTAAGCGGTAACTCAAGCTTAAAGCTAGTCCACTATTGCTGTGTGTTTTTTTTTTTTTGGTGAAATACCAAGAATTTGAAATCATGCAAAGCTAAATTGACTCTTCTGTTCAGTGAATGAAATGACCTTTGGCCACCATAGGTTGGGAAAGCTTTATAATTTAAGAAGTAACCAACCATGGGAGACTAAACATGCCAGTGAAAGTAAGAAGCTAAAACTGCTTTCTGATCTTGGATATTTTGTGAACTCTGCTAGGGGCCAGGTGTAAGGCATTTGCTCTCTCCCTACTCTGATGATTCAGAAGGGAGGATTGATCTCCATCAATAATCTTGTTCTTCCCTGCAAAATCCTGCTGCTAAGTTACAAATAAAGTGTGAAATGCATTTTATAAAATTAATAAAATCGATTGTTAGTAGACACAAACTGATTATACTTTTACATTATTGTAGCAATCAAAATGCCTGCTCAGACACTCTGTAAACAGAAAGACACAATCCCTGTTGCAAAGAGCAAAAAGTCCCACTAAAGAGTTAGATGTGTTACCTCCACAAAATGGAAAGGTTGAGACTTGTCACCTTTAAAAATATTGTAAGACAAAATGATGCACATTATAGTCTTGGAAGAGAAATGCTAGCAGGCCAGAAAGTGAAGCAGAAGGCAGATGGAAAAGGAATGTCGGAAGGAAGGCATGGAGGAAAGAGAAAAATGAAAGGCAGGAGAAGATTCTGGAGTAGGATGTAGTGGGAAGCTGTTTGAGGCAAGCACTTGGTTAGCAGTAAGGCGAAAATGTCCACTATCATCTTTATATTAGGGTGATTTTAAAAAATATATTCCTCAAGCTGTTGCAAGAATAGGGGCAGGATCTTGCTGGGTCTTAAAACCTTGGGGTAGGCAGAGATTCCAAGTAGTTGGGACAGCTCCTGGGTTGTCTTCATCACACTTCTCTGTTCTGGCTCACCAAGCTTGTTTTCGGTGAGGGAGCTATGTTATCCTTGGAGGACTGATTATCCTTGTAATTCATATTTTAGGTAGTTCTGCAATGATGGAAGATGTTTTTCACATAAATTACAACATAAGGGTTGTAAATACAAGTCAGTTTTGGAAATGTGAAATTTTCATTTGGCTGCCCATCTACTTAATTGCTTGAGTATCTCTCTCTTATGATGGAGATAATTGTAATGAAATTTTTGCTTTGATACCCACAAGATGCCCCTTGATATCCACCCATCAACATCTGCTTCTCATCTCCTGCTTTTGCAGCTTTCTGCCTTTCTCTTACTCCAGCCTCTTTCGAGCTCTCTCTCTCCTTTTCTTGTTGCGAAATTTATTCTTTACCAGTAACAGCTTGGGTCTCAGCAGCTCAGCCATTTGGTGTCTAAGCACAGCTCTTGATTTGTGCATACGTATCTCTGTAGGCCATTAGTAGCTTAGTATCTTAGAGAGAGTGCACAGTGGGAGCCCTGGGGCTCAATCAATTTGTATACCTCTTTAATACGTTCCAGCCTGCTTGTGAGCATGAAGAGATTCACTCATAAATATTGACCCACTACAGACAGCTCAGACAGGACCCTCAAGGACTCTCTTCCCCATTTCCTTTCTTCAAAGCCAGAAGGTACAGCAGTGATCTAAATCAGAAAAGCTTTGCTCTCAGCTAATTCCCACACTTTGCCAGTCCAGATGGAACTCAGTTGTGTTGAAGACAGTTTTCTTGCAGGTCTGGACCAGTTGTGTCACAGACAGATGAGCACCAGAAGTTGTCTGTTTAAGTCTGTGATAATTTGTTTTCCTTGTCCCTCTGTCAGATCTCTCTATTCTTCCTCAGTGTGTAGAAAAAGTAAAAAGGGTGAAACCCCACTCCTTCTGCCATGGATTCCTGGCCTGCTCTCTCCTGCTTCTAGAAGACAGAATGAGCTCTATTTCATGGTGTCTAAGGAAGCATCTTTCTGTAATCTCTCTGTGGAGAGCTGGATGTAAGACAGAGATAATTATGCTGAAAATCTGGGAATTTATTGTATAAAATCATCATTTGCCATAACATGAGAAACTATTTAACTCCAGTAATCCAGCCTCCCTGTTCTCTTCCTGTCCATATCATATTCCCCTGGCCCAATATTGTTTCCAGTTTGAAACTTGGCTTTTGGGTTATGGTTAAAACGATTCTCTGAAGAGACAAGAGAGTTCAGGAACTCTACCCTTTCCTCCTCTCTGTTGGCTGGCCTTCTTGTTAAAAGTTGGTCTGAGTTTTAAGGCAACCACAAAGTTTTTTCACTGTCTGTCTTCAGCCACAAATCTATGCTTCATTTTCATCTTCTGCTTCAGAAGACCTGTCATTTCCCTAGCAGTGGCTGTCGGTTCCCTAAAGGGCTGTGAATTCTTATGACTATACTAACCTCTTCCTATAATAGCGCCTAATGGCAGAGGATGTTTTTTCAGAAGGCAAATACATTTTGCTGCTGACTTTCTGTGCCTGTTTCTACAAAATTCTATTTCATATCCCTCCACTGATAAGATTGGTATAAATTAGGTGAGGATTTACTGAGAAGCTTGGGTGGGGCAGGGGGAGGATTAAACTCCTCTGCCTACCATTACAGCTCTCTGGTTTGGCACTGATGCTAAAGGTCTTATTTGCATCTAGCCCTGGAAGACTCTGGGATGTCTGTTCAGACTGAGCCTCTGCAGCAAGCATATCAGAGGTTCCACATATCAGCTCAAAATTTCATCAGGCTATACAACTGCCATGCTATAGAGTTTCATGAAACAGACCTGAAAAAACTCCTGTCTGCTCATTACACCAAATCCTTTCTACAGCTGTTCCAAATCAAAAGGAAAGCTCTGAATTTTGTATTCTGAATCAGTAACCAGTGCTGATGCGCCAATTGGCCAAAGATCCAAAGATTTAGAATCTTAATTCCCACAGTGTTAAAACAGATTAGATTATTATCGTGTTTTGCACATCTGTCAGTCATTTTAGTAATGTTATATTAAAAGCAGTTGGTTATAACAGAACACTAAATGTCTTTAAAAGTTCTGCTGGCTTTTAAAGTGCATGTAATTATTGATGGAATAGAAGACTATAGATTAGTCTTCTATTAAATAATTTTTAATGATATCTTCATAAATAAACAATTTATAAACTTGTTTGCTTTCTCACCATCTGGGAGCATTCTGTTATCCATCTGCTTCATGTAATTATCAATAAAACAGAAGAATAGGTGATACAATTAACAAGAATAACCGATTCACAATGAAGAATAAAAATGTCACACGTTTGTCAAATTATTTGTTTTGTTTCTGCCCTTTCCTTATTACTCATGTGGTTGGACTTCTTTTTTTAAATTTTCAAAAAGAAGGCAGAACAATTATCAAAGTATTGCAGAAACCCACATAGCTTTGAATAAACTGATGAAAAGTTGCTTTATCTTTCTCAGTTAATTTTGTACTTCTCAAGTAGTACAGGGCTATAGGTGCATTACAGAAAATGTTTAAATCATAGCAGGAAGGAGGGAGTGGAGGAGGGAGTGGCAAAAACCTGCAGTCAGATGCTCTGCATAGCTTTGACTTCTCTGGACTAACCCACTTTAAACTTGTTCAAGAGCTGAGTTTTGTCAGCATGGCTGGGTAGATGTGCAAGAGTGCA